CAAGATGAAAATTAATGTTTATTTTTGTATTTAAAATCAAAATACCATTTTTAAGTGAAAAACATAAAGTACGACCTTTTGAAAGCGAGTAAACATTCTTCCTTATGGATAGACTTGTTTTTATAATTCATGTTGTATTTTTTTTAAGTGCATATTTGGCTCCCATTCTTTAAAATTTATGTTTCTTCTAACTCATTTTCAATCACACATCTTTTAATAAAATAATTTTATACTTGAATTTATATTTTTTCTATTTTTTAATTATAAATTATTCAAAAAATTACCTTCACAAATTTCATTTTCAAACAACCTCTAACAAAAGTAAACTAAAATCGCATTAGGTGATAATTTTATTGATAACAAAACAAAGGGTTAATTACATTGTTGGTCACTGAACCTTCTGTAAGGTTTCTAAAGGGTCATTGAATTTCAAAAGTTTATCCGTTAGTAGGTCAATTATTCCAAGTATCACTGAACTTTACCTAATCTTTCTGTCAGGTCACTCAACTTTAAAAACTACACCATTAATCACTGAAATTTCGAAAATGCTATCCCCGTCCATCACCAAACGGATGTCTATAAAAAAATTGGCTGAAATGATGACGTGGACATTAGTGTAGCTGATGTGGACGTTAGTCTAACTTATTTATGTCAAATCATAAAAGTGCTAGTGATATGTAATAATTAAAACATCAAAACACGTTTTTAAACTTAAAAAAGGACTAGAATTGATTTCAACCAAATCCCGATTCCCCAAACCAAAAAAAAGTGTGAAAATTCAATACAGAATTCAACCCAACATATTACCACATAAAGACAAAGAATGAAAACAAGACAGCATTCGAGATTCTTCAAATACATTTAATACAACAATTATCAGACATATAGCCCCAAAAAAATTACAAAACACACACAAAGAACACCAAATACAAAAACCTGATTGGAATAAAATAGAATAGAAAATAGATTATGTAAATACTTAATTCAAATTCAAAATAAGGGTTTATGCCAAAATTACATAACACTGGTCATAGCTAAACGTACGTTGCACGTTATTTTGAAATACTTTATAAACGTTGTGAAAATGATATTTGAAAATCAGTGAATATAAGCAATAGTTTAAAAAATTGTTTATGTGAAATGAACTTTTTATACAATTCAATTATTAATTTACATGTATGATAATAATTAACATTAATTTATATATATCCTATTATAATTCAATCAATTAATTCTTCAAATTCATGCACGAACTCTTTCTATATTTTGGAGGCTATTCAATTACTCTAAAAATACTACAATTCAATTATTTATGTATGTGCATGTACATTAATTAATGTTTATTTATTGATATAAAAAATATGTCATTAAGTTTATATAAACATGTTTTGAGAGCTATTCAATTATTATAAGAGTAAATAAATTATTCAAATTCATGAACACATATTTATTTTTAAGATTATTCATTTTATCATAAATTATTTTATAGTATATAAATTATGAAAGATCATATAATTTGGGAGCTATTCAATTATTACAGGAGTAGATAAATTATTCAAGTTCGTGCACACTTATTTAATTTCAAAGTTATCCATTTAATTTATGATATAACATCATTTGTCTAAATGCATATAAATTATTATTTTTCTATATTCATTGATTCAAATTAATTAAATTTCATGTTGGTTTCACGTACACCCCATTTGTTTAAATGTATATAAATTATTATTTTTTATATCTATTAATTCAAATTAATTAAATTTCATATTGGTTCACTTACACCTCATTTGTTTAAATGTATATAAATATTCTATTAAATATATATTGAAAAATAAAAAGTGAGGTACTAGTGAAATAATTAAACTGTAATATTATTATTATTATAAATATAGGCCCACTACTAGCAACCCAACACGTGAGTTAATTCAAATTCAAAATAAGGATTTATTCCAAAATTACATACTCCCTCTATCCCAATTATATATGCTGAGTTTCCTTTTTCTCGTGTCCCAAATATATAGGTCAGTTTCCTAATGTAAAATATTTTGTTGTGTTGCTTTACCAATACACCCTTATTAAATTTTCACCACTTAATATGCCAATTTCTTAAAATCATCCAAATACACACATTTCTCACTTCTTGGAAATATGAAACAACTCTCATTTCTTCTTCAAATTCTTTATTACTTCCAACAATAATTTAAATTTACATACTGAAAATTAAATAGGGGTAAACTAGAAAAAATCTTGACAAAAATTAATTTTCCAATGACATTAAAGAAGTTTTCTTAATCCGTGTGAAAAACGAAACAAGCCTATTTAATTGGGACGGATGGAGTAACATATAGACCCACTATTAGCATCTCAATATATGAACAAAACACAACAATAGCGTAACCTGTGTAGCTGATACTTCCCAACCTATTGTAGCTACTACAGCGCCAAAGTAACAAAAACATAAATCGATGGCTCTGTTTGTTTCATCCAAAATCACAGTCCAATAATGTAACACCTATTACTAGCTTCCAAGCTCGATCTTGCAGCAGTCATCAATAGGTGGCTGATCCTGAGGATTGTTCAAATAATAGAAATAAGTGGATGCTCAAATTTACTTAAAATTATATACTACAACGCGAAAGTATTACTACATTATGTTTTACCACATGTGCACTTGCCCCAATTTGTGATACATTCTTCACTTTGTAGAATCGTTTGTTGTGTCCCTTTGCTCAGCAAACCGAAACATGTCATAAAGATAACACATTTTTCCTTTAAAATTTTTTTGATTGCGATTGTGATTGAGAGGGTTCATTCTCTTTAGGCCTCTTCATTCTCTTTGTTTATTTCCTATCTTTTGTAGCAATGTACCAAAGCGGTGGCATGATAGGGAATTGCTCATTCTCTGGCCACAATGCTTTACCATTAATAGGATATATAACATATTCGTATGTGCGCATGTAGGTGTCAATCATAAAGTGATAAGTGTATTTTTGCATACTTATTTAATACTTCAAATACTTATTATTGATTAAAATGAGCGAATTTCTATTCACAATTATGTAATATTTGCGTTTGTAGGTAAAAATCACCAAAATGAAAGAGAACAAGGCAAAAGAATAAAAAAAAGACCAAAAACGTACAAAGATGTGAAGTTTGGGACCAAGTTGCACAAGTGCCGAATGTTGGAGGACATTGGGATGCAATTTATGGAGGGCAATATTGAAATGAAAATCCAAATCCGAGGACCAAAATGTACAACATAAAAGTTGAGGGACAAACTATGCAATTTATCCTGAGGACCTCATGTGCAATTTTTGATTTCACCAAGAGTGCGCACCCGCGCACTTGGCTTCTGGAATTGTGCACACCTGCGCACTTTTAATGCGCACCTGTGCGTTAAAAATTCCCGAAAATCAGATATTTTGAGGGCATTTTGGGCTTTTGTTTGTGCTCGATTTTGGGAGTATTTAAACACCAAAACTCATAACTCAAACCCTAGAAAGAGTTTTTGAGAGTTTTTCTCTCTTGTGGGTTTTGCTTCTTCTTCCATTTTCTTTTCTTTTCTCTTTTCTTTCTTTCTTTCTTCCTTCATTTTCTCTTCTTTTCTTTTTCTTTTCATTTTTACTTGGTATTTTGGAGATCAATCAAGAGCATAAAAGGAGATTACATCAAAGTGGTGGAGAAATATTTGGGAGAATTCAAAGCCAAGCTCAAAAAGGGGTTTTATCTATATCTTTGTTTTTCTCAATTATTTTGACATATTTGTAATGTATTTGTATAAACATTCTCCTTTTAATCATATGTATAAAATGGGCTAATTGATTTTGTTGGGATTTGTGGTATTTGTTTAACCTAACTTTTAATTAATTTTAATATTTGCTCTTTAATGTTATGTTATTTATTCTCATGTGTTTATATTATTGTATTTCATGCATTTTCATTTATATGGCCAATATATGATTGTGTTTAGTGATTTGTACATCATTCGAGAGAAGATTGTGCATTTTAGACCAAATAGTAGAAACCCTAGGTTTGTGTAATGGATAGAGATATACCATTAGCCCTAGGTGACCCAATGAGCTATTTTCACAATGATTGAATGCGATTGTTTGGTTGTAATCGACATAGAGATATAGTAGGTTAAATCAATCAATTAGGGTTAATTTCACTCGAGAGAGGTAATTAACTAAAATTGGAAGATCGGGTCTAACATAGGAATTAAGTAATGCGTTAATTGGTTTATAGAGAAATTAATTAGGCGATGGTTAAGCGAAACCACGAATCCCAACCACGTTCTTTCTCCGAAATTTCCAAGTATTTGTGTTTTTCTTATTTTGTAGATTTTTAGTTTATTTACCGCTTTCCAAATCTCATGTTTAATTGTGTGTGTTTCATTTGATTGTTAGAATTAAATTGATTAAAGTCGTGTAATCTAAAGTAACATTCCTCGAGGGATCGACAATCCGGACTCAAAAAGTCCACTTTATTACTTGTACGCGACCCGTGCACTTGCGGTATATTTTCAAGCGAACATAAAGCATTCCGACACGTAATCCTTTATCTCATGTCATTTGTCTAAGATACAAACAATTGTATGTGGACACAGAATTCCAAATATTTCCCATCTTCGACAGGCACATGTTTTGTTTTCCATGTCGACTACAAATTCACCATTCAGACACTCCACTTAACGTTGACTTACCCCATTCTATCGCAAGATGTATTCACGGGCTGCATCAATATTTTTTTATAGAAACTTTTGCATTGTTGGACATATTGACTTGTTGTAGTTTCTCAATTTGTCCCGCTTCACCTGCATTCTATGCATCAACTCCATCTGAATGCCAATCAACATCGTTAGAATCAATTTATCTCTTTCCTTAACAATAAATTTGTTGAAGCACTCGCATAGGTTGTTAAAGAACATTTCGCATTTTGCCTGATCGGAAAAGTGAGACCTACTCCACTCAAATGGTGGTTCGACTCTATAGCTTAGACGCCTACAACTTCCATGGGCATCCATCTTTACAGACACAATGAACTCGATCTTTATCATTTCGCTTGAAGATAGGATCAACCCAATTGAACACCACATAATTCCTCACAACAGATTTTAGCTCATCAAACGAAGTAAATAGTAAACCAACCTCAAGATGCGGATTCTTCTTCTCATTGCCATCATAATATTCGGGGTAATTCGATCGACCTATATCATCCTTCGAATCTGAACCATTACCGAATTTTATCTCATCTGAAGATGCATACAAAGAACTACATAATTCAGGAGCTTCTTTGTACTCCACCACAGTATGCATATCCATTTCAATTTATTTTGTTACGTTATGATCAAACATGTCGTCGTCATCATCATACACATCACAATCGGAGTCATTGAAGTCTGAATCATCTACAATCATATTAAAAATTACATAAATTAAGACTCCACTAATCAACAATAAATGCAATGGAACAAATCGAAAATTATAATTATATTAGTTTAAAGTTGCCTCGTAAATGAATTCTGAAAAATAGACCCTTCCTTATCAAACTCACCACTCCAACAAATCTCTCTCTCTCTCTCTCTCTCTAATTCACCAACTTTTTTCTCTTTCTATCATTAAAGCCAAACCAAACCCTTGATGACCTCCATTTTGGCATGTATTTTCCCCATTCACGACTGTTGTTTCCATTTCATCCATTCCTTGATCTTTCCGTCACCATACAAAGACAGATGTAGATTCATCATACATTTAGTATCTCCTTAGTGATTAAAAAAAATCAAGAAATTTCGTAGATATTAATGGTTGTTGTGTGTTCGAGAAAATTTCGTAGATATTATGATTTTAAAACAAGGCAAAAAAAAA